GGATTCAAGCTCAAGCCTGCCCACAATTCAGATGAAACCCTATCCCTAGCTCCTCTATTCTCGTACCCCTCTCATCTCTCCCAGATCAAAGCCGTTGCAGTCTCCGGTCCCGTTGTTGCCTCCGGCGGTACCGACGACACCATCCATATATAACAATCTCAATGATTCCTCTTCCTTGGTTCTCTTCACGAACACACACCGGCACCATCACCGCCCTTTCATTTCCTACTCCTCCGCACCTCAACTTCCTCGCAATCTCATCTCCGCCGCCGCTGACGGAGCCGTTTGCATCTATGGCTGATTCCTTCGTTCACCTGAAGACCATATCTGCCCACAAGAAAGATGTTAACGATCTCGCCTTATCCCTCGGGTAAGTTAGCATTGACAGTTGGTCGGGATGAGTGCTTAGCCATGCTGAATTTGGTGAGGGGAAGAAGGAGCTTTTGCTGTAGGTTGGGAAGAGAAGCTACGCCTGGTGAAGTTTGATTTGAATGGCGATAAGTTCACTATGGCCATGGAAGAGAAGGTGTCGCGTCCACGAGGCTGAGGATGCTCGGTTGTTGTTGGAATTCCAGAACCAGAAGCGGATTCTTTGTGTGTCGAGCCTTGGTTGAGGTTAGTTCCACTCCTTTTTACATGTATTTTGGAACTGGGATAGTGTGCATCTCTTTTGCTCTGTACTTCTTATTCAAAATTTTTCATTTATTGGATGCGTGTTGCTGTATTAATTGTACAATCAAGAATTGATATGGACGAAGAAAGCGTCTTACTTTTTAAGATTTTGAGAACAATCCAAAGCATTGTCTCAACGGATGCGTCAATGCTCTCTGGTGCAAATTTTTGACTTCATTTGATGTGGATAGACCTTGTATCTTTCATATTACTTAGTTAGATTTGGTTTTGGTTTTGACATTGATTTAGATAGTGTACCTACTACATAGTATCAAAATCTCACAACTTTTGGACTTGATAAACTTAAACTTCGGAGGAATATTACAGGTGGATGACATAGATGGACTGCAGGATGTAGTTTTAATCCTTATAGGAACGAAGCATTTGTTTTAATCTTCAAATTTTTTTGTCAAGGGCATATCACGTCTATGTGGCAAATTAAACCATGGAAATTGGAAGTTGGACATCTATTGTCCTGTCAATATGACGCGGCAATAGTTGGACGTCTTTATAACTTGTAGAGTTGAATGTCCTTCTTGTTATTTCAGAATGGAATGCCGGCTAACAATGGCCCTGTCTTGTGTAATCTTTCATGTGAAGACACAATTTACTGTGTTGACTCGGGATGTGATCTTTTTTGATATGACATGTTGCCCAGAGATGAATTCTTATTCCTCTAGATTCCTATACTGTCTGATTGCACAGTGCACGCTTCATATATGATGGCATGGAAATGTAGCAATATCAAGAGAAACTGCTGTTATCTCACGTTTTATCATTAAAAAAAAAATAGTACATTTGTATCGAGTTAATGGAAATCTACTTGGTGCTTGCAAATTGTCCTATAAACCATATGAATTCTTTTTTTTTCAAAGCGAGTATATTGGCTACTGAGCAAGTTTTTCTTAAGAAAACAGCTACAAAGACTGAAGTTGGGTTGCTTTCTAATTGTTGATAGCCTTGGTGGTGAAGTTAGCTCTTATGTACGATGCTGTATTCAGGAATAACCTACCAAAAAAAAAAAAATCCATTTTCTTTTTTCCATTTTAGGGGGAGGGTTTATTGGGAATGTGTAAATATAGCATGTGTTGTGTTGTGTACTGTGGTTTGTGTTTAAATTATTAAACCTTGAATTTTATTCATTGCTTTACAGTATTTAATGCTTTGAAGTGATTCTGTATTTGACAGAATGGTCTTTTATTATTGGTTGTGAGGACCGCAATATTACACAGCATGGGATACAAACAGTGGTAAGGTTGCCATATTGTATTGAAGATGCTCATAAATCTCGAGTAAAAGGAATTGTTGTGCTCACTAAGCATGGTAGTGCCAGCAACGGCGATGACCCTCACCTGGTGGCAACTGCTTCATCTGATGGAGACATACGCGTCTGGGATGATCGCATGGCTACTCGAGGGAAGCCGAATCCATTGGCCGAGGCTAATACGAAATCACGGTTGACTTGTCTTGCTGGATCATCTATAAAACATGTTAAATGCTGAGTCATTTGATGTGCTTTTTTCCTTATAGATTAAGGAAATATTGTTATTTTATTGACTAGTAGCGGCTGACAGTAAAATATCCTGTCTGCCTCTACTTTTTTCTACTCTAATGCCTACTTTGCTCGCTAGCCAGTTCTGTTGTATATTACAACAGTACATTCTTTTATCTGGCTTATGCTTCATCACATAGGGAAGTGACTTGTAGAACTCAAGCCAACCAACATGATGCCCCTTGAACTCGAGTCTTAAACAGTGAAAGATCACGTGGGGATTTTTTAAAATGCTTTTTTTCCCCCAATAATTAAATTTAAAGATGGATTTCGTACCTCAAAGCATTAAAAAAGGAGTGCGTGTGATTTTAAGTCTTCTTGTCAGAGAGGACAATGAGGAAGTTGGGGTGCGAAGGAGCAACTCAATTTGCAAATTGCCACTGAAGCTGAGAGCATAACATATGGCCGATTGTGATAGTGATGAGGTATCGAGAATTTTATGGTCTTTCAATTCCTCTGTATTTGTCTGAGAGTTCTTCCTTTCTTTCTCCTTCTGGCATTGTGCTTCTTTTCTGTATGTTAGCTATTGTTCGTGTTTTGGTACAGGTTTATATAGTTTTGATTGAGTTCTGTTGGTATTTTCGTGAATTACAGTAGTTGTAATTGCTTTGTTGCTAGTTTGTTTTTTCATCGTGTTATTGTTGTTTATAAATTTATCCATGTTGTGTCATTTTTATCCGTGTTTGTGCTTTTGTATTAGAGTTACGTATTTATGAGTTGAATTTGAATTCCGCAATTTCTGAGTTGATCCATGTTGATATTCATGTTCTTGTTTCAAATGGAGGGATAAAAAGGAATAATGGGCTAACAAGTTAGATCGATTGTTTACTTAACACGCGCCAAGAATAATGGGCCATTTGCCGAAATATCACCTTTACTTGACAATGCGCCCACATGCACTCACGAAAAGGTCAAAAAGAAAATCACAAATATATTTTATTAAAAAATTTATTTATAAATAAGTTTTGTGAATTTGTAAAAATATGTTTAGGTCCGTGAGATTTGATTGTAATTAATTTATTATATAAAATGATATAACTATCTTTTAACTCTCATTTTTTTTACTAACATTAACTGACATTGATGATTGTTGGTTGGTCATTAGTTGGAGTTCATTGGTCGAAAGTAATTTTTAAAAAATATTTTTATTAAAATATTAATACTTTAATGTTTACAAATCAAGCATCACACAATAATAAATAAGTATTCAAGGTTTATAAATAAAACTTCTTCCATTTATAAGTCATCTTTTGCAATATATTACTTTAATATTTACAAATTAAAAGTAATAAATTTGCGAGTTGGACTTGTAACGTAATATATTTAACTTGTAAATATGTGAAAGTTAACTTGTAAATCTTACTTATTAATATTATAAGAGGTCCCTTGTAAATATAGCTGGTTTAATTGTTGTAAATCATGACTTGGCCCCAAAAAAAATGTAAATCTTAAAAATTATTTGTAAATGTGCGATATTATAAATATCAAAAATATAAGTAATTCAATAAAAAATTTATTTTAACTAATCATCAATGAGTGGTAATCAGTCAATGATTACCGATCAATGATAAACGATCATTAGTGATTGGTCAACACTAATTCATGTAAGTCAATAGTAACAATTTAAAGGCGTTTGTGCCATTTTATATGGTGAATTAATTACAACTAAATTTCATAAGACTTGAATATACTTTCACAGGATTTATTTCTAAATAATTTCTCATGTAGAACTCATTTATAATTTTTTTGTGCAAAAAAAATTTATATAAGTTAACAAATTTTTTAAAAAGAAGAAATTTCCTTCAGGCCTAAAACAAGTCTGGGCCTAATTTGAAAGTGATTTGGGCCACATTGAAGCTAAACACTTTTTGTAAAAGAATTTTTGTTTACAAAACATTCTTCGTGGCCCCGAAGGCGATGGCGAAAGATGATAGGAATTACCTTTCCATAAAATCAATGTTGGTAGTAGAATGATATTATTTGCTAAATTTTGAATTGTTCATTTTGGTTGTTTATTGGATCCATAACCTGGGACAAATTCTTGAGGGAGAGACTTACTTCATGTACATGTATATAGTGTTTTGACTTGTTTTCACGTTATTGACACCTGCAGACACATAAATATGTTGATAAAAGTTTCAGGTCTAAAGTTCTCGGTTAAAATTATGAATGGAGATGACAGAAATTCATATTAGAACGCATTGATTGGATGGGCCTAAATAGCAATGAAAATATGGTTGGGAAAATTTTGAAATTTTAGACAAGTAAGTGACTTAATTAACTCTAAAACCTCACTCTCAGTGCACCCATTTATACCTTTATTCTGAGAGGTCAAAACAACAAATCTTGACCATTGGAACTTGCTTTGACCTGGTATATGTTGGCTGGTAGAAAGTTATAGAAGAGTAAAGAAATGACTACTTTTGTTTTCTGTTGTATTTTTCTGAGGTGATTTTATGATTGCAAATCCTATGAAACACTTATTATCTCTAAAATTTATTGAGTAACTATATTCCATTTGCAGTCAAAGAATCTGCTCTATTTTCAAATTTCACTCTTTTATTGATAAAAAGATGTGCTAATATGTTTTCAGGCAATATCTTTGAAAGAAAGTCAACTAATGGGACATGTTTCATTGAATATTGAAGACAAAACAGAGATTCTTTCAGGTCCAGTTCGAATCATAGTCCAAAGGAGGAATGTGGCAAAGAAATTACTGACAATGACTTGGATTTTAATTTGATGAAATCTCTTGATATTCAAGATGTGCGGTTCTATGGAAAGTCAAGGGGATTCGATGAGTGACAAGGAGATTGGTGATCTTAAGCAATCCTTAAACACTGGTAGTTTGGATGAAGAAAAAAAAGCTATTGCCTTGACGGAGAGCAGTTATGGCTCTCTCTATAAATATGGGAAATCACAACATACGGGATTATTTTGCTGCCTTCCCTAACTTTCTTGACTCTAATAAATTCGGCGAAATACTTGCAACTATACAAAGGTGTATGGCTTTTCCTACCTTTTCTTGACTCTAATATTGATTTCCAACTATGCAATGCTTAAATAGGGCACTGAATATTGCTTTAAGGCGTGGAATGCTAGCTTTTCCATGACTAATCATGTGTTCACCCCTCTTTCTTTATGAGACTATTATGTGACCTTCTCATTGTTAAATTGGAATTCAAGTGCATCAAGAAGTTAGACACAAACTGTTGAAGCAGCAAAAAATGCTAGATTGAGTTTTTGCGATTGTCAGGGCAGCAGAGAAGCTTCAAAAGCAAGCAGCTATCAGTGTTCAAAAGGGGAAGGAAAATGATGCAAGGGAAATACTTTTTCAGAGGAAGAAGGTCTTGCAAGCATTAGAAAAGTCCAAAACCCGCATTGAATTGCTTGACGGACTTATTACAAAGCTTTGTGAGGTAATATGAATCGATTACTACTAATGTAATGTTACATACATACAATTGTTAACTTCGTTATGGCAATTACCTTTCCATAAAATCAATGTTTTGGTAGAATGATATTATTTGCTAAATTTTGAATTGTTCATTTGGTTGTTTATTGGATCCATAACCTGGGACAAATTCTTGAGGGAGAGACTTACTTCATGTACATGTATAATGTTTTGACTTGTTTTCACGTTATTGACACCTGCAGACACATAAATATGTTGATAAAAGTTTCAGGTCTAAAGTTCTCAGTTAAAAATTATGAATGGAGATGACAGAAATTCATATTAGAACGCATTTGATGGATGGCCTAAATAGCAAATGAAAATATGGTTGGGAAAATTTTGAAATTTTAGACAAGAAAGTGACTTAATTAACTCTAAAACCTCACTCTCAGTGCACCCATTTATACCTTTATTTCTGAGAGGTCAAAACAACAAAATCTTGACCATTGGAACTTGCTTTGACCTGGTATATGTTGGCTGTAGAAAGTTATAGAAGAGTAAAGAAATGACTACTTTTGTTTTCTGTTGTATTTTTCTGAGGTGATTTTATGATTGCAAATCCTATGAAACACTTATTATCTCTAAAATTTATTGGAGTAACTATATTTTCCATTTGCAGTCAAAGAATCTGCTCTATTTTCAAATTTTCACTCTTTTATTGAAATAAAAAGATGTGCTAATATGTTTTCAGGCAATATCTTTGAAAGAAAGTCAACTAATGGGACATGTTTCATTGAATATTGAAGACAAAAACAGAAGATTCTTCAGGTCCAGTTCGAATTAAAATGTGATGAAATGACTATTCTTGATATTCAGATGTGCGGCTTTCTATGGAAAGTCAAGGGGATTCGATGAGTGACAAGGAGATTGATGATCTTAAGCAATCCTTAAACACTGGTAGTTTGGATGAAGACAAAAAAGCTATTGCCTTGACGGAAATTTCCTCTTATGAAGCATTAATGGAACATATAGATCAAAAACTCAGTGAGATTGAAATTGAACTTATCACTGCTTTGAAAGCCTCAAACTTGTGGCTGGATTGTGATGAGAAACCAGAGAATTCAAGGTGGCAACCAAATCGTGGAACTTCTTGAGAGTATCCATGGGATCAGACAAAGGTACACATTTTTATCTGCCAAAGTATCAGACTTATTGCTCTATTAAAGAATTGGATATTGCTACTTTTGTTGCTTGGGGTGCTTTTGGCTGTAGTAGTATTTTTAGCATATTCTGTAATATAGTGAAAAAAATAGTAATGTAAGGCTTTTCTGAAATTTTTAAACCCTCAGATTCAGAAGCATCGGGGAGGCAACATTAAGGATCTGATCACATTTTCTGTTTTGTTCAATTCATCTTCTGCTGCCAGGTGAGCACTAACTTGTTCTTTAGGAAAAATCTTTTGCATCTGTGCTTCTAGCACTAAATTACTTAATGTTTGAAATGGACAAAAAACATTGAAGATGCTTATTCTCGAAGTGAAATGAGATGTTGATGTATTGATTTGTTACTGGTCCTTCCAGCCACCGTCATCTGCTTAATCAATTGCTGGAGCATTTACCCTTGGCAAATTTCCTGCTGTACTTAAAGAGAGTTAAGTGAAGTTGCAAGACTCATGCCCGTGACTTACTCTGAGAAGTGTTCACTCTATTATTCGTTAGATGAATGTAGTCATGAAGGTTCTGGTGAAATACTCTTCAAGATTGACTCTCAGCGTAAGAAAGTGGATTATTTGTAGTGAATCTCAACTCTACTTAGGCCATATTTTACAATTTCATACTCAATAATATGTCTACATTTTTTCATGCAGGCTGAATGGTCTGGCTCTTGGAATTCATAACTATGGCTTCTGAGAATGTCATATTTTTCCTACTCGCACCTTGCAATGTATCTTGTCCTAGCTCGCTTTTGAGTTACAAAATATGCAAATGTTCGTATCATTTGCTGATGTGGTTCTTCCTACTTATTATAATGGGAGAACTTGCAAATATCGATAAAAATCTAATTATCAATTCTTGTACACTGTGTTGATTCTAGCGGTACATGCTCGTGAGTACAGTTAACAAATAGTTAACATATTTCTTGACCATCTTGTGATAAAACAATAATGTGCTAGTTCTGGTGATATTGTAATTCCCTGGTTGAATATCTAATTCCACTGTAGTGGTAATGTATGCTGAACTTCTTAACTTATGGGTTATCTGCTTGAATTATTACTGAAAGTGGGTTTGCCACTTAAAATTTTCCAAACTAACTTTTCTAGACTTGTTGCTAAATGTGATAGAATCAATCATGTCCTAGATTTCCTCTACGCCCGACCACCTGAAATGTCCTGAGGACCCCACATCATCAGGTGTGGATCATGCAGTCTCTCCTGGTACTTAATTCTGACCTCTGAGAGTCCTTTGCTTGATCAAGTTTGTGGACAATAAATGGTTGGCAATGCTGGACCATCTTATATGAAAAATAAAGACCAAAGCAAGTAGCCGTTGCCAAGGCGATGAAGGTTGGGAAAATATTTCTCTTATAGTGTTGCCTTCTGTATCACGCAGTTTCCATCAGGTCAGCAAGAGTAATCTTGCCACATTGGCTACTGTCCAATGAGTCAAAGAGTTTGCTTATTTGTTGAATGTCTTTCTCAGCTATCTTCCCCATCTCCTTAAGCTTATATATGACAAATTCAGACTTGCTGCAAGCAAAAAAGAAAAGGTTACGCAAAAATATAAAGCCTGTATATGATACAACAAGAACACTTGGCAAATATTACTATATTAACTGCACTTGGTACATCATCGCAATCTCTGCAAGTTCTGCGTGCTATGCCTCAATAATTTTTGAAAGCATGATAATGATCTAAGAATATCGGCTAAATTGCAATTGCACATCCTATATAAGGGCCTATAGGCTACAATGGAAATGAGGCATACAACTCAGAATCTCCATCTTGTTGCTAATTTTCTGTCCTTTAGTTGTTGACAGTGGTCTGGTGGCTGAACTGTTAAACCAGGTAGACCCTCTCCCTCTGTTCTTCATCAGTTTTTACATGTTGATGTTTTCTTTTTACTCTGCAAACATAAGAAGTCCGAGGTTTCCCCTCTCTAATACTTCATCAGATCAACTTATTCCTAAAATGTATTTTTGAAGTGGCTAAGTCAGTCAATAATTTGTCCAATCTTGCTTATAATCCAGCCTTGACTCCTAATAGTAATACTCATAGTTATTAAGAGTAATTCTAAGACAGACCCAGTCTTGTGAAGGCAGAGAGCTCAGGTTAAATATAAATATGACATGCAAATAACTCAGATGCACCTTCCCCCGCCTTATATATACCTTTAAGTGAAGCCTACTGTATTTTCCCCCCTCTGAACCTAGCTTAAATGCCATTATTGATTGACTTGATTTGGGTTACAGACAACTCAACAATAATGTAAAATTTAGCTGCAAATTTATAAGCTTATTTACTTTTACATAGATTCTATGTAATAGAAAAACACTAGCATACCTGATGGATCCATCATTGTCTAGGTCAGCGGCCACTAAATCTGACAAGGTAATCTTCTTGTGAAGAATCCATTTTGCAATAGTACGATTTCTCTTGTCAATGCTGTATTCAGTTAGGTAAAGGAAGGCCCTGCCAACTGCCAATGTGCTCACCAAGAGCCATACTGATGCAAAACACCTTCCACTCTCAGTGGCAAAAGCATAATCCCCATAGCCCACTGTTGTAACAGAAGTAACAGAGAGATAAAAACAGTCCAGCCAATCCAAGTTCTCAAGGTAGCGAGCACAAATTGTTCCTATAGCAACACAGCAAACAACCACTGCCATAGCTAGACACACTTTGGTTCTTATTCTCATTCTTCCTTTCTCTTTGTCTATCATATATGATTTGATGAGTGTATTGAATCGATTCTCATCCATGGCACTCAGCAACATTTCTTCTTGTCTATCACAAATGTAGGTGACTAAGCCATTTAGCAGAATGCCGACAAATCCGAAACCCACCAGAATGAACCCACAGGTAAAGATTTTGGTGAATGCTGTGTCAGGGACAATATCACCATACCCTATTGTGCAGAGAGTTACCACTGTGAAGTACACAGCATCCACAGGCTTGTAGGTGGATTTGCCCTTGAAACTCCCACTTACTAAGTAAACTAAAACCCCAATTGCCACATACAAGATGACACCAATAAAGGATAGCGTTACTATAGTAGGTGATGTTTTTTGTGAGATTCTGAGGTCAAAGGAATCATGGCCATCTTTTCTGACACTAGTGAAAACTGATGGAGCAGAGTGTGAGCGATGGATGATCTTCTTTCTTCTGTTCAAGTTGGCTATGAGGTTCAAATAAGAAGGGCTCGTCCTGGGTGTGGTAATTATCTGAATGACCTCTTCATTGGTGATAAGATCAATATAGGCTGAGTTAAGTTCTCTTAGGGACGATGGCCTGCTTGATGATTCTGCCACCAGTCCTCGTTTCTTGGAGAGAAGGGGTTCATCCATTGTATTACTGCATTTTGGGTTTCAAAACTTGGGTTTGTATTCTGGAAGTTACGTTGTTTTGTTGTTGACAACTAAAAGTCAATCCAGAGAACAGAGAAGAATGGTGGGTTGGGATTTGCATTGATTTCTTGAGCTGAGAGTCAGACTTATGGTGGTGCAATGAATCACGTGATGGGAGACAGCTTCACATAATCCATTTGAAAGTTGAAACTTGAAACTTACCCTTTGTGGCTTTATTGGGGTTTATGTGGCAACGTTTTTAACCCCATGAAACTCTCTCTGGTCTTAATCACGCTGTCGAGTGTCTGAATCTGGAAATTTTTTTTAATATTTTCTGTTAGACCAAATAATTTTATTTACCGTTATTGTCATTAAATATTTCCTTAAATATTCATTTACATCAAAAGGAAAACTTAAGGTACGATAATAATTCATCTCTCTCTCTCTCTCTCTCTATATATATATATATATATATATTGCAAACCCCTGAACAACTATATGATCACCACTATAACTCTGTAATTTTCGTTTTATTGTATGATTAATTGATCGTTTTATGAAAAAATTGCGAACAGCTCTTGTATTCATTCAAAGAGATGAAGTTATAAATACAAAGGGATAATATATCACATTCAACGATATAAACTTATTACATTCTTGTTGCCGAATCAAGTTATGAATGCGAAGAGGTAAATATGCGGTACACTGTCCCAGCATGCTATATTCATTCATATGCAACGTTTCTTTCAAGTGTTTAATATTTTTGGCTGGTCAAAAAAAAATTATTTAATATTTTTGCATAATTCCATTTTCGATGAGAAGCTTCTCGTCTTACATGAGAATATCTAGTCTGTCGAAGAATTGATAATTTAACCCGGAAAAAAATATATGCCCCAGTAAAATTTGATCGACCTAGACAGTGTTTGGGAGTTAATTTATTTAGATGGAATAGAATATAATGGAATGATATTTTTAAATATAGGTCAAGTCATCATTTGAAAAAAAATAAATTAAAAACAGATGGAATGGCCAATATTATAACCTTCGATTCCATCACAAGCCAATTTTTTTACTGCTATATGAGAGGTCAATGATTTCTTTTTCAAGCAAGAAGCAAACTTTACTAAAACCAAGTAAAAAGATTACAAACATAAAAGCCCAAGAAGAATAATAATCCTATTCTATTAAGCCCACTAAACTAAAACTAATACAGAAATTTGCTGGGGCCTCTCTCTATCACAACCCGTCTATGTTGGTTGGCCCAAAAATTGCAAAATGCTCACGATGTTCTGTTCTCTCATTTTGGGACCACGTTTCTTTTTACCCATACAAATCTGATCTGTTCAGATTAAAGTTTAACATACAGATTTATTTATATACTTAAAAAATTATCAAATTTAAACAATCAAATTCAATCTGACCGTCTAAATTTACAGTATTAAGAATGTATTTGGCTAGTAATGGTAAGAAGGTAAAGCTTGGCATGCAGTGTAAAAAATTGAAGGCATCCTGCCACATTAATATCTCATGTACGTTAGTGATGCAGCACCCTCAAAAATTCATGGCATACGATTATCGATTGCAGACGATCAAATGGCATCTATCAAATTCAACGGTGGTACTTGATTGTTATATGAGTGAATAGTTTTTGTTGAATTAGCTTTGTTTTTTATACGTGTGAATAATTTTTGAAGAATTTATATAAACATGGATAAAGATTAGTAATACTTGGATCCTAGATGGATGAGACAGCACAATTTTTTCGTTGCCTTTAAAAATTCTAGACGTTTTTCAAAACTATGATAAATTAATTTATTAAAATATTAATGAATAATGGAAAAATACCAGTAAGTTGGCTTAAAAAAAAATGAATTAACTTGGATAAAACATACTATGAAGTAATCAATAAAGATTGATATAGTTAATAAAAATTTAATCTATAATCCATAAGGTTGTGAGATTAAATGTTGTTGCCAATGGAAAAACCTTATTAGTAGATAATTTATAAGTACATCTATAAATGCTCTTAAAATCTGGAGGTATGACTTGATCTGGATGTACTTTTGGAGCTCAACTCACATAATTTTTTTTACCAAAAAACAAAAAAGTGCTATGGAGCAGAGCAAAGAACTACTATCACGATTTAGAAACATACCAGATGTTGATGTGAGAGATCAAGGGAAACCACCAGAGAGTGGAGACTGCAATCCATATCTATGCCTATGGACGCGGAGGAATGATTACAAATTATTAACCGTAATTAATTTTTAAACCGCTTATTTATTAAGTTTTTTTCCTTTTTAATTAAAGGCCTTTATTAGCTTTATTTCTTTAATTATTTCACATCTTACATTTTCACAAGACATTTAAAAGGCGATCATAAACAATTAACACCCCCTAGCAACTAAATGACAATGCTTTCATTTGCTACTGTTACAAGAGAAGGACACAATGATTGATGATTCACAAACATAGAAATTAATAACCCAAATAAAACCTATATTTAAACATCAAGTACCATACAAAACAACCATACATATGTCGAGTGTAAACAGAAGCATAGCTTTATGGGCCCTTCGGATTAACCAAGGTGACAATGATAGGTTAAAGGTAGTGGTTAGGATTTGAACCCTATTGACATATAATCTCTTCGCGCGCGTGTTCCCCCCCCCCCCCCCCCAAACCCAAAAAAAAAAAAAGGAAGAAAAAAAGAAGAATAGCTTTTAGACAAGGGAAAGATGATGCGCACCATTAGGTGACTTCCTACGTGCTGCTGTTTGAGGAAAATCTTTGTGGGGTACAGTTTTTCGCACCTGGGCATGAGATTCTGCTTCATGTTGAAACATCTTGACCAGCTCTTGAAGCTCCAGTTTTCTGACTGCAACATTTTCTTCCACAATGGGTTTCTTCAGCCCAAGATAAAGCAATCCAATTCCAATGAGTAGAATTCCCAATAAAACGAGGAGGCCAGAGAATAGAGCAAATGCATAGGGAGCATCAGCAGCTCCAGGTATTCCATCTACATTTATACCAAACAGGCCTGTGATGATGGAGAGAACAAGACCCCCACCACCAAACACTCCTAAATTGTGAGTCACCGTGAGGCTTCTATCCTATAACAAGTAGCAAGAGTATCAGTATGAGCGATTTTTATCTTTGTCAATCGCATAAACATTCAAAATCACTAAGGTTTTGATAATAATTCAGCATATCCTCATTCAGTCAGTATAAATCAAGCCAATAGGAAACAACCACCGAACATAAGGAGGCTTTTGCTCACTTCATTCCTAGGATTCCCCTGTTTGGCAGGACAACTGAAAGTTCTCATAAAAAGGATATGATTGTAGACAACTAAATATGATCCAATGTTTAATAATAAGATGTGCTGGAAAAATCAGAAGATGTGTTCCATATTTTGACATCACTAGGAGCCAACTTAACCTTGTTTACATCGTCAAGACTGTAAAATGCAAGAAAGAAATTACTGATAAGCATTGCAAGATTTCCTAAACTGGAGGACAGGAGATTTCTGTATATAGATGTATGCATCACCTAATCATCCCAGTATACAATTAGGGAAGATAGCATGCAAAATAATGACATATACATATAAATAAAGGTAAAACATTCATCATGTTAAAGCACATATATACACACAAATCTATTTCTCTATGATACATCTGAACCTTCCTCATCATGTATAGTTCAGTAGTGAGCGAGCATCACAAAACCTGTAACCATGAACGGACTGTGCTTTGCATGACATCTTGAATTGTAAATAAGCGAGTACGAACTGCTTCCTGCTCTTCTAACATTTCTCTAGTACTCTTCCGTACGCCTTCTAGCAAGGATCTTGCTTCGCTTCCTCTCAATTGTTGACAAAGTTCAAAAACAATTTCCTCTCGTGCATGGAGCGACCACTTCACTCTTATAGCCTGATAAATCAAGCAAAAAGAAATCTACCTATGACATTATTCTGCACACGGAAGTAGCACCAAAGAGATATTTTTATGGTAGAAGAAAACACCTAGTTAAGTGCTACAAATAAAGCTGTGTAATTTGTTGAGCCTTACTCTCTATATCCGTATGCAAAATTCAAAATGGAAAATCAGATATTTCAAGCAAATAATGATAACTGATTTCTTAATTAAAATGAGAAAATGACTAAAAAGAAATTTTAAAGACATCAACATTAAAAGGGACTACACAATCTCAAAACACTTGACTTTTATGCCAAACGTTATGAAGCAGTAGACAAACACGGTCTAGATTTTTTATGCCAAACGTTATCATCTGTACGAACTGTGCTTTACAATATAGTTAACAGGGGCTGGCCAAAATACCAAACAAAAAGTTAGCGGGGATAGAAGATTTTTTTTTTAATATATAAAAAAAACCAATACATGATTACTTCACTCAGCGCTACTTAAAGCCCATAACAACTCCAAGTTTCAAAACGTACCCCTTGAAACCCTTCGAAGCCCATAACATAACTAATAAACATCGTGCAGAGATAAGCAAGAATATGCAAACTCTGCATCTATTGATCCTTCAAAGCCACCTTAGAATCCCAGATTTTCTGTGAAAGACAAATCTTCAATATGTTGTAAATAAGAGTTTTTGCCTTTATGTTTTAGAGATACAAAAACATCTATCAGAGAACATAAATTTATGAGAAATAGACAGAAATCATGTTTGTATTATTTGATTCACAAGGAATACTCATGCAACCAGGATGAGGATCCCAAGCCCACATACCACGTCCATTATCCAGTGTTGTTCAAGAAAACATATCGTTTATATTAAATTCAAATTGTTCATTAAATCTACAATGACTTTTTCAAGAGGGCAAAAGAAGGAGCAAGTCATTACAGTTATTTTATTATCCTTTTACGATAATTCATACTGCAAAACAATTCATTGCAGATCAAAATGCTGTCCCATTTGTTTCTCTTCAAGAATAATCTAATTTTCATGGTTAACTATTAGCTTTTACGTCACAATCCCCGGATAAAGGTACCTGGGCTGATAATCTTCTGATTTCTTGGTTCAAGATAATGCTGAAAAGATGTAAATCCTCATGGTTCCTCCTGTCAAGAAGATTAAAAACACTGGGCTTTCAAGTTACCAACAAAATATGAAACGATCAACAAAGTTCAACTTTTACAGCAAAAGTGTAATGGTCCAATGCGCATGGAACCACCTGTTCATAAACATCAACTCAATTTCATCCGCAGCCCCAAATACGTGTTTACGGAACAACCTACATCAAACATGTTAACAATGAAGTATATGCACGTCATCAAAAAGATGATTAATATAGTGATGCACAAAGTACAAGAAAAAGAGAGATTTAGGGGACAGGTACTTAAATGAGGGAGAATCTAGAGAAGCAGAAATGGGAACATGATATTGATAATATTTTCAGTTATAAATTCAAGTCAGCCCAACAATATCTATCCTTAAATAGGCTAACCCAACATGATAAATTAATTCCTGCAAGTGTCAATCCTTTTCTTCCTAAATTCTTTCCCTAGTGTGTCATAGTTCAGTGAAGGTTAGTCTCAATCAGAAATAACATATTTTTCATTTTTACTATTTGAAGGAGTGCTTCTAAAGTACATCTTTGGAATCAAAACTCAAAAGAATGGAAAGCCATCAGATGCCTTAGATATTCCATGTCCAAGGAAAACCATAATATGTATTCCAGATCCAAAAAACAGAAAAGATGACAGTATCCTAACCGAGGTAACTGGGAAGAGCCAATCTAATTACGAAGATTACAACATTCCTTTCCTCAAGGCCCTGTAAGCCTGTAACATGTTCTCTGCGGAATTTCCTAGTAGAGTCATTTGGAAAACCACTTGTTTCTAGTGTTTTCACTCCCGGTGATATCTAAATATCTATTTTTCCGTGTTAATTAACGTCATGTATACCAGAAAAGAGGAAAAAAATAAAATTTAAATTAACACAAAAGAAGTAATCATGCTTATCAAAGGCAAAACCAATGATGATTTATTAATTTATTCAAGTAACTTTTCACCTATCATCCCATCGAGCCAAATGACTTGCTAGGTGTGCTACAACCTCGTGAATGCAATGTGGTATATTTGTCCCTCCAGCAGCAAGCAGTTCCTACATAAAAATACAAAACTAAATGTTCAGAAAAATTTTGCAGCATGATGTTAGAATAAATAAACAAATAACTGTGCTTTTGACATGATCCTAAAATCAAGTCGGTTATTAAACAAACGAAGCCACTAATTTTCAGTTAATTTTTTTATCATGATCAAACTAGTTCTGATGACATTAATATTTTTAATGTGTGCGTGTGTATTAAAATATTAAATGAAAATAAAAAAAGTTAATCACTGTTCATCCATAATCACATCTTGAATTTAAAATAACTAATTAAAAATTAATCATTATAATCCATAAGTAATTGAGATTAAATTCATTAATATCTATATAAAAATACTACCATTTTTCTATTCAACCACCGGAATTATTAATTCAATTATCTATATCTACGTCAATAAATCGTATATGTAATAAAAATATTAATAAATATATACAAAAATAATATTTATAAAATATAGACGATAAATTTGACTCAAATAGGCAACAACATTTTAAACCTGCAACCAAAAATTTAAAAGAAAAAATAAATCGATTGAACTGATAAGTTATAACTCATATATGTATATATATATATATATATATCCGGTTTTCATCTTTTATGGTTTTTTACGGATTCTATTGATTTTTTGTTACCATTTTAAAATATTAATTCTATGAAAATTTCAAACCCATTCAAATCTAATTAATCCAATTTTTTTTAATTAAATCGACCAGTATGATAAAATTCCTATCTCATGAAAAGAGGACGGACCTCAACTTCTATAATGCCCAATACATTGACATTTAATGTAACGCCTTTGACATGCAATGCTGTCACCAAAAAGTTTTGTGCCTGCCATGCTCGTAAAACAACGGGGATGTCATCTTCCTCAACAAAAGGATCACCTGCAGCCTGCCCCAGAAGTTCAAATAGTAATCCACCAGCAACTCGAACGGGAACCTGTCAAAACAAATTAAGATTGTAGCCCTCTTCAATCTTCATAACTCAAAAAGATATTTGCTGCGATACAAATATTATTATGAGATGACACGCACGTCGTATAAAGTAAGAAAAAATTGGCATTGCCCAAATCAAAAATAACAAATGGAATAATAATTAGGTCCCATTAATGACAATCAAGTCTTAAAACATTCACAAAAGTTATAAATATCCATCCAAATGATTATAAATATGGAAATCCTGCAAAGCAGCGGAAGGAGCCAGTGGTTTAATTTGGATGATTATCCCAGTAATGAGCACATCAATAGCTATTAGTCTCTCTATCTAAAATTATAAAATATTTTTAGAAGAGATTTTTAATCTCAAAATATAAGATGTTTGAGAAGATTAAAATTTTATTAAATATATTTATTCTAGTACTATGCTTTTCTCTCTCTATTTAATACTAATTAAGTGTAAATTTAAAGTTATTAAATGAAAGATATTTTTAAAAGTTCATATTTTTGTTTTGAAAAAATAAAATTATTAAGTGTATTTAATAAAATTTATTAACATGTAAGATTTTCTTTAAAAGTGTTTTATAATTTGAGATGGAGTGAGTATAGTTTTTTAAATAAGTAATTATTTTTTGATAGAATGAAAATTAAAAGTTTGTTTTTTACTTCAGATATTGCGTATGTTAAAATAAAAAGTTATAAATTATAAAATAAAATAGCATTAAATCTGGACCGTTGAGCTTTAATAAATGTGAATGGTCCATTACTAAGACTCTATTCGGGGGACTTGAATGCTACTCCTAGTAATTTATAATTGAGACTTTTTACATTTGCAACTCATCTTTCTTCAAAATATTTTGGCACTTCAACTATTACTATTAAATGACTCTTTAAGACCTAACTTAAATATCATTTCTCCATAAGAGTATAGTATAGATAATTTAATAGGATTACCTCATAAAGAAGGTATCTCATTCGCTCACTGATTAGTTTATTTTCTTCTCGCAAAGCAATGCTAATAGCAGGATGTAGCCACTGAGCACTGCTTAACCATGCACTGATAAAAGGATGACCTGCATCCACATGACACCACCAAGTCGGACCTACCGGCCGTTCCCAGCAAGGAGTTGCTACATCCGCAACAGTAATATCAGTTTCTTCATCTGAGAAACCACGTGACTGTGATGAGGCCCACTCAGTTTCAACCTGCACGGTCTGTATAAGCTCAGAAATTCTTGTCCAACCAATTGGTCTCCAATAGCTCCTTGGAAGCCTTTCTCTGTTGCCATGGAGGTGCTCTGGTTGATTCTCATTAACTCCAGATTCAACTGGTAATGAAGACTCATTCGAGCAGTTTCCACTATCTTTTGTTCTTAAGAAGCAATTAGTTTGATCTCCTAGTGAGACTTTCCTTTTTGCCACCTCTTTAACTTCTTCTGTCAGTCTAGCCCTCCGAGGTGCAGAGACAAATTCAAAAGCACAGATGAGTCCATCATTCCAAAGTTCCCCTCCCGGAATCTTATCCCTGGAAGCCTGGATTTTTGGATTGTCTTGTTTATTCATTTCATCGCCTGGAAAGGCTGAAAAAATTTCATTCGCTGCTTCCACATCGCACTCAAGTAGAGGAATTAGAGCCTCAACCGTCATGGACGGGAGAGCCACAAAACGCTAAGCTTCCATGTTTACTGCACCATCAATATCATGAATAAATTACAAATTTGCAAATGCACAAAATAATATCAATTCCACAGGCAAACACTAGCTTATATTGCCAATAGGGTATGGCTTCCATGTTCCATCCTCGCATTTCGTCTATTATGAATATTCTAAGGAACAAACTGAATCACATGGTTTCAATTTCAATTAATTAAAACTAGGGAAATTCAAAAGATTATGTACCTTCCATGTCCATTCCGTCTTCCTACTGTTTTATTGTTCTCTAAGATTTTCCGGCGAAATAAACAGAGACAGAGCTGGGACTTGAACTATAAGTATACTGAGAAGAACTTAGCAGAAGAATGAGACATTGGGCGACGCGAGATCTTTGGCATGTTGGTTGAATTTAGGGCACTGTATCTCGGTTGTGAAGAATAAGTTAAATTGGAGGCAGGGAAGAAGATGAGAAGAACCGCAGAATCGGATGAGGAGGAGGAGGGCACGTGGTGAGATTCGGCGATATTCCTCATTGGTACTGGAATCAGAGAAGTCAAGGCACCGAACCGATTAAGAATTTGGGGAATTTCACCATCACAGACACTAACGTCCATAGTCCCGATTTCTGAATCCGGATCTTGCGTAGCGGCATCTGCAAACTGCATTATGCAATTCAATCTTCCGGAGCCCCTCCGTGATGTGACACGAGGATGCATGTGTTTCTGCCATCTGTATCTCCCGTGTTCTTTGGAAGATTCGGAATTTCGGATCCTCTGGGCCCGGACAAACGGGACAATCTACCAGCAGACGTGTTGTCATGGGGATTTCCACTGTTAGACTGGTGAGTGGTGATAACGATACATATATTGACAAAACCATTTATTTGTTGACAATTTGTTTTTATAAAATTCACGAATAATAACAAGTTTATGAGATTATCACGATTCTTAAACCCACATTCATGAATACAGTAACAACTTTAATAATTATCTATCGCAACTGTATGAATGACATCACTGTATGATTGATGTGAAAGCAGGATTTGAGCCTGGTGCTGACACCGGTGAGACCCACTCGGCTCTATGGAGACGAAGAAGTGCTGGAACGAGAAATCAAAATGACACATGATGACTTCGGAAGCGTTGCTACATTGTATATAGTGTGCGAACCAGGCCGAGTGGCTAAAGCCAGGGTTTCAGACGTGGGTGATTCACAAACACCCAAATGCAAAACACATACACATCAAGGTCGTCGTCTCTGCCTCTGATCATATGATCATGTTCTCCAATCCTTCACGCCTTTATTCCAAGCTGCGTTCGCATTCGGCGCTTGTCGGCTATTGGCCTTGATGAGCACTAAGCGCTCATCAGATGTGGCCAAATCACGGCCTTTGATTTTATCTTCAAATAATTTCTACCGTTCATTTTAAATTTATTTTTAAATATTTTAAATATTTTAAATATTAATAGAAAAATTATAAAAAATTCTGATGTAAAATCTAGACTGTCTATAATATATTTATATAATATGTAAAAATAATAATAAAATTTAATATTAAACTAAATCATTTAAATTATAGCTTAACTGTCCAGAATACATTTGGATAGTCAAATTATAAAAATTATAAAAAATTTTAATATTAAATTAGACTTTTCAGATTAAATATGTACTGGCCAGATTGATAATAACAAATTGATTAAAAATTTTTATATATTTAAAATTTTTATTTTGATAAATGTAATTAAAAAAAAAATATTTGGATGATCCAAATCTCATCAAATATTATGAGTATAATGGTTCTCATTTTTGAATAAGTATGGAAGAGAGTCCAGATTTAACATCAGGATTTTTATAATTTTTATATTCATATATATGATATTTAAAATATTTAAAAATTAATTTAAAATCAACAACTGAGATCATTTCAAAATGAACTAAAAGGCCATGATTTAGCCACGTATTGATGAGCGCTTGGCGCTCATCACAACGACGAACACTAAATGCAAACGCATTCCAAGCGCCACCACATTGCCAGCACATCAAGGTTATGTATTTTTGGAATTTTTTCTTCTTTTTTTTCCTCCCTAGGTTAGTATTAAATTGTAAGTTTGTTTCTTAAATTTGGAATAATAAAAATTTTAGCTTTTTAAATTTACTTCAATTATCAATTTAATACTTAAATTTAATTTTTATTGATTTGATTCTCTATATTTATTTTAAATTATTATATTAGTCCTTTAAATTTTAAAAAATAAATTTAATTTTAAATTAATTTAATGTATAAAATATTTTGATGACTTGATATATATATATATATATATAAATACATTAGCTTACAAATCAATTTAATTTTTATTAATCAAGTCCTTTATAATACGTTTTGTTTTTAAAATTGTTTGAATTTATTTTTTCCATTTAAATCATTACGCTTTTATTTAATTAATTTACTTCTTTGCCATTAATATTTTATTATTCATGTTAGCAAATTTTATCAGTGTCATATCTTATTTAAACAATAAAATTCAAAGCAATTATTGAGAAAAATTTAATGAATCAAATCGGTAAAAATTAAACTTAAGAAATCAAGTCAACAAATAAAGCAAATTTAATGAACTAAAAATTTTATTATTCAAAACAAAACAGAAATATTTATTCCAATCTTTATTATAAATCATATCAAATCTCTAATTAATTGAAATCAAGAGGATAACTGGATGACTTAATCTTTATTTAAAAGTATAGAAAAACATTGCATAAAGTTTCAAATCTCCTCCTAGTACATTACATCAAAGGTAATATTAGAAAAAGCTAATCAATAACTTACAAAGTGACTTATTTATGGAATCATTAATTCCTTCTATGTAGAAGACGCAAGGAATACAGAAACACAACATCAACATTGATTAATTATCTAAGCATACTTAGAAGCAACTTGGAGGAGAGCATGTGAAAGTTCTATGGGAGTAGAAAGCATATCCATATGATCCGCGTCTTTGAGTTCCACAACCTCATCAACGCAGAATTTTGGATCATCCATTGCTGAAATTCCATTGTGATTCCTAGGTCCTGATTGCAGATAATGAGAACCCGTGGGACTGATCCATATCCCTCTTCACTGAACTTGTTTAATTTAATTTAGATAAGTCATCAACAAAATAGGATGATGGCCTCATCAATGCCTTTGCCAATTTCATATCGTGCCCAAAAAAAAAAAAAGCCCATTTCTTCCAACTATTTTAGCGTGCCCGTGGTAGTGATAAAGTAAGAACTTGGATCCTCTCAAACATTTAGAATAAGAAGAGCTAAAATTTGAGCAAGATAGGAATGAAATTTTTAGTATTTTAATTTTAGGGTAAAAGAGCAAATTGGTATTTAAATTATAGGTTTAGGAACATCTTAAATTTTAAACGCATTTTTTATATAATATTCCTCTTTAATTTTTAAAAATGATACAATTTGATTCCTGCCGTTAATAAAAGTTAATTTTAATTATTAATTGATTAGAAAATGACAACAAAAAACTCAAAAATTACAACAAAAAATCCAAAAATTAGAAATAAAGAATAAAAAAATTATAGAAAATGACCAAGAGCATTTTACTGGTCATTTTTTATAATTTTTTATCAACTAATGGTCAATATAAATTTTTTTTAACTATAGGGATTAGATTAAAATGTTTTTAAAAGTTAAGAATTAACATTGTTAAAAAAAAAAATTGACCCAAATGCTCCTGAATCAATAATTTAAGAGTTAATTTGCTTTTGTATTCTTTTAAATTTATCTGGATTATCCATTTGAATGAGAGATCTACCAACATTTTTTTGTTCTTTTCTTTTCTTTTTTCTTTTTCTTTTTCTTAAGATGGCCAAAGTGAATACCTCTTTGGGGCAGAGTTGATAGAGACGGAAGGACAATAACTTTGGACGTAGCAACAGAGTTGTCAAGGTTCCACAATCAGAGATCTCTGTGTCTAACCATGCATCATTTGGCTTCTTTCTCTTGAAACTATGCATTATTTTTAAAATCATTTGGCTTCTTTCCCTTGAAACTATGCATTATTTTAAAACCATAGTCAGGTCTTCAGGATTTTTTTTAAAATAAATCTACTCTATGAAACTTATACGTACATTTCCCTTGTTTAAAACTTAATTGTTTTGGTTTTCATTTTCACCTCCTAAGAAATACCATAATTTTTTAAAAAACTAATAAATACAATAATTTTTTTAAGAAATAAACATTCTTTGTCTTTGAAATCGAATAGAATAAACGGCATATTTGGAATAAAGTAATTAATAGTGCATAAACTCTTGTAAAGTAATTTATATTTAAGCCAACAAATTTTTCTAGAAGAGGATTTATAGATAGAGTTGAAAGGAGCAGTTTATTCTAAAAAATGAATTTTTATATAATTTGAGAATGTTTTTAAAAATATTTGAAATGGTTATGAGATACCGACAGCCAAAAGATTAGGTGATTTCTGTAAAAAAAAAAAAATTTAGGATTTGGTGAATGTTTTTGTCTCATTTTACACATAAATTGAGAAAAACAAAAAGGTTTCATGACTCTCATATATAAATAAAATGAGCCTCCATGACAAGGATACAAAAGAAAAAGCAGACAAGGCTTCATAAGTGAAGATGAAATCAAAGGCAAGGAAGTTACAACACTACTATAAAAATAACTTTTTACAGCGGTTAAAAATAACTTTTTACAGCGGTTAAATAGATGATGTTGTTACAGGGGATGTAGAAAGTCTATATCGATTATACGACCACTGTAAAAAATAGATATTCTACATCGGTTAATTATAACCGATGTCGAAAATAGTTCAACGATTCAAAAATTAAAAACTGAAACACTTTCTACACCGGTTGGAACCTCAACCGCTGTAGAAAGTTTACTATTTTACACCAACTTTTTCATTAACCAATGTAGAATATTAATATCTACACCGGTTATGGTAATAACCGCTGTAAAAAGTGTATTTTATTTTTAAAATAAACATCCATATTTTTAAATTTACCCTACTCTGTACACAAAAATTACCACAGCCAAATCAGACAGCTCAATTTATTTATAATTTTTAATATAAAATTAAATAAACAACTATCCAAAACTCAAAGTTATCTATGAACTATCTAAGAACTATATATTGAGCTATCCAAAACATTGTGTCAACAAATGTTTTCAAAAGTTATTTATAACTAATAAACTTCTTAAATTGTACAAAAATTTTTACAAAACTTATTATGTACTCTCAAATAACATAATAAAATAAAATTCTTAAAAATATATTTACCTCTTTTGTAAATTCCGTCATACCCAATGTGATAATGTTGAGCATATGTCTCATGACATATAGGTCACACAAATTCGTCTTCACTGGTTGTCTACAGCTCTGTATAAGAATAAATTATAAGAAATCAATAAAAAAATCTTAGTAATTGAACATATTCATAAAGTATAGCATTACCTTTGGCTCGATCCATGTAGAATCCTTGAGCTCATGTCCGTGCTTTTGCAAGACCATATTTTGATATGTTTTCATTGCTCTATGTTCAAGATCACCAAGTTAGTAACTAAAATATT